TTTTTTTTTTTTTTAAGTGGACTGATAAACAATCACACCCTAAGAACTTTTAAGACCGGCTGTGCCAGTCATCATAAACACCAAGGCGGTTGAGATCAGCAAATTTGCGGTTCCAACCGTAGCACAAGATAATTTGCGCAACAGAACTAAACTGCGGTTACTGTAACGTTGCCCTCCAGGCTTCAACTAATCCACACAAACTTGAGCAGAACTGAAAACAACCGCTGATGTCGAGCAAGATGCTAGCCTCACTGACCCACTCCCGGCCGCTAGCCTGCGCCGCCACGTCGGCCTGCCTCTATCCTACGCGGCTGGTGCCTCATCCTCCGGACCTCATCAAATGGGTCAGGAGAGAAGGCGGGTTTGTTCACCACTCCGTAAAGATTGCTTATTTGGAGGACGCAAAACCCAACGGGCTCGGGCTAGGGTTAGGGCTTGTGGCCTCGGAGGATATTCCCAAAGGTTCTGACCTCATTTCACTCCCCCACCATATTCCTCTTAGATTTGATGGAGAATCCTCGACCTTGATCGAATTAGCTCGGCATGTACCAGGTAAATTGTCCGAATTCGGTATGCTTTTGTTCTATTCTTTGTGTAATGTTGTTCGACCTTCTCGGGGTAATGTGTAAAGATTGTCTTTTTGGGTGTAATTTGATTTTTTGCCACTGCTGTGAGTAGAAAATAGCGACCTTAAGGTCTACTATGAAAGTGCAAATTTGGTAGTTATACGCAGTAGTAATGTTGTTATTGTTGAGCTGAATTAGAATGACTAGAGTGAGTTGTCTAAACTCGAGCATTGGTTAAAACTAGAACTGAGTTCGAACGACAAACCTAAGTGAATTTAGAGTTGAAAGGGAAAAATGTAGCAACTGATAGAACACATTCCTGAATAAGCTACATTTTGATTCGATGACCATGAGCCTATGAAAAAAAAAAGTGTCAACTCTGTATATATCAACTAATATTGGTGACCAAGAATATCAAAAGTTCCACAATGGCATTTTAATGGAGTTTGGGCCTTTGTGAGTGTATCTTCAGCAGTTGCGAGTGTTCTAAGGTGGGATGTAATACCCCAAGCCATGTCATGAAACAGAGGGAAAGCTTAAAAGACTTGATTGGTTGTAGTTATATGAACGAGGTACATCTTCTTTTCCAACTCAATCCATTGGAATTCCAAAGTTTAGCATGTTTGTTTTGGAGTAATTATGAGATGGAAACCTCAAGGGAAGTTACTTAGGGAGCGCGTGAGTGTAAGTGCCAAACAGCACGTTAAATAGACTTTTGTTGGTATCATGGCAACCACTGCCAGGTCTGGAGGGCGGACCGTGGGCGTTCGTGGAATTTGTACATTCACAACTCGCTGGTAAATTTTTAAAATGGAGCCATGTAGTCTTCTGTTGGAGCCATATTTTTGCATGGCCCACCAAATTTAAAAATGGAGTGGCATAGATGAGTATAAAATAAAATATAGGGCTTCATAAAGGAGAACTATCAGGTTTTGTGGCATATATATATTTGTGTGTATGTATATGTGATTTGTTATTATTGTGACTTGATATGTTGATAGGTAAGTATTCAGATACATATTTGTATGTTGCGTTTGTCTGTGTCTGCATGGTCCAAGATCACATCAAGGATCTTATTCATTTTTTTCAATATGGATTAGAACTTATCTGGAAATTGAATAGCAATTACTTGCTTGAACAAGTTTAATGTTACATGAACATCTAACGAGTATAACATGCTCATCAGCTTGTGCTGGCTGTTGACGGTTAAGGGTTAGACAATGAAATGGATTTTTCTGTAAAATATTTTCGATTTATGGATTAGTATTCATGGAGGATGACACTCATTGGATATATTCAGTTTGGTGGCTTTATTGGGATATGAAGGTTCTGAAAAGCTCTACACCCAAGTTGAAGTGAATAAAAAGATCAATGACTACAGATGGATCTCCATTGTTCGCTAAGTACTAAAACAATCCCTGAGACCTTAAGACCAATTGCATAAGAGTCACACTTATTACTTCAAATTACATGGAAGTCATTGAGTTTTGTATTTTGTAGCCCTCTCTTTACACTTCTTGAGGGTTCACTTGTTTTTTGTTGGAAAAAACAAATAGGGGCAGATTTTTTGTTATTTTAAACACACACACACACACACACACACACACATATAAATATATACACACAATTAAGTAACTCCCTTTTAGGTATTGTAATCATCCCTTCTGTTTGTTTCCATATGTTCTGTGCACTTAATGTCATAATTCTGTTCCTTAAATACTAGGATATTGAATTTTGTATAAAGGAGTAAATTGGACATTTGGAGCATTTGACAGAGGAACTCTGGGCCATGAAATTGGGTTTAAAGCTTCTACAAGAAAGAGCAAAAAGTGGTTCCTTCTGGTGGCCATACATCAGCAATCTTCCTGAATCTTTTACTGTACCCATTTTCTTTCCGGGAGACGATATCAAGAATTTACAGTATGCTCCCCTTCTTCATCAGGTACTTTGTGTTTTAATGAAGTTTTATTTTTGTTCAAATTGTTGTCAAGAGCTAGCATACTTTTGCAAAATGCCCACTCTTGACTTGAATGCTATAAAATACTCAAAAGCTTTGTGCTGCTATTATGAATCTAAAAATATATTAAGAATTTATGTTTTTCTTTTTATTATTATTATTATTTTTTTGTTCTAAAAGGACCCAACTGTCAATATTTGATTAGAAGATGTTCATTTTTTTTTTCAATTTTTTGTCAAGGTAAACAAGAGATGCCGTTTTCTTCTTGAATTTGATAAATTGATGAAAAGGGAACTGGAAAATGTAAAACTGGATGACCACCCTTTTGGAGGACAAGATATTGATGCGTCAGCACTCGGGTGGGCAATGTCTGCTGTTTCATCACGAGCATTTCGTTTATACGGCAGTAAACGTGCAGATGGGACCCACGTTGATGCCCCTATGTTGCTTCCCCTAATAGATATGTGCAACCACAGTTTCATGTCCAATGCTGAAATCGTACAAGAAAAAGATGCAAACAGCAAGGATATGATTGTGAAGGTCTGTTTATCTGTTGATTCTTCCCTAGAATGTAATTGATAATTACCATTTAGGTTTGTCTTAACTTAAAAAATAATACTCCCTCCTATTCATTATAAATGTCGTTTTGACTTTTTTGATTCATCCATTTTGTTATGTATCTAGACATATTAATGTTTAGATACATAACAAAATGGATGAATCAAAAAAGTCAAAACGACATTTATAATAAATACAAATACCCTTAAGAAGGTACTGCAAATACCCTGCTTTTCCCTTTTTTTTTTTCCGAAGTTCTAATTACACTAATATATTTCTGTAATTAACCTTAAAAAGTATGATTCAAGACATGCATGTATGACTGCGATAAATTGATAAGCACAATCTATATATATATAATTGCTAGCAGATGCATTAAATAAAACATTTAATAAAACCTCAATCATTTTCCCGCCTAAATCAGTTACCTTTGACTTTTTTGTTTCTTTATCAAATCTCATTAATACAAACCGTTCCAATTTTGTTTCTACTTTATATCCACCTTTAATTCATTTGTTTTTAATAATAAATACATAGTTAACCCAATAATCAATAAAACTTCATCAAATTGAAAATTGATTCTCAAATAATATTTCAGATATTATTCTTAATACTTTATTGATATTATTTATTTAGTAAATAAAACTGATTTTGATATTACTCTCTAAAATTAATAATATACCATAATAAATAATGATGAAGAAAAATTGTCCCGTATAACCAAAATTACAAATATAAAAATTGTTAGAAATTCACTCTCTACAGTAAATCAATACTTCACAAACTCTTATTTTCAACCTCTAACCTGTAAAAAGAGAGAAAAATGTTATAATGATAAAAAAATATCATATACAATAAAACTATCACCATTGTATACACAATATTAACCAGCCTCTTACTACAACGAACTGACTAATAAAAATTTGAACTGACTAATGCATCATTGAATAAAAATATCATCATTGTATATACAAATATCCTACACAAATTTATCTTAATACATTTATTACTATAAAATTTGAACTGACTAATAAACATTAATACATTTATCACAATAGTCTTTATTCCCAAATCAAACTTATCTATATATATATATATATATATATATATATATATATATATATATATATAACTGTTGTCATATAGCATTTAATAAAACCTCTAAAATTCTCCATCCATTTTCAGTTACAAAATTTATCATTATATTTTTTACTTCTCACATTAATACATCCTATTAAGTGTAATCATGTATTTTTTTAATATACTAAATAATAGTTATTTCTAATACCAACTAATAATAATTCGCAACGAATATAAATTGCATAATTACAAACAATTGTTTCAAGTGTAATCTATATTAACATCAATATTATTTTTTTCTTTTGTATCTCATGAAAAAAAAAAAAAAAAAATTCTTTAAAAACAATTAGGAAATTATTTTAGTAGCATAGTCAAACAACTTTAGAGTCTTATAAACAATTGTTTTTTTAATAATAATAATAATAATAATAATAATAATAAGCAAACTGTTATTATCTAATGATAATAAATAATTATTCATCGTTACTTTATTTTTCCTAATGATCAAATTTTTGAAAATGTAATATGTTCATTATCTAGAATTTTAATATTAAATTCTCAAATATTGTTTATAATATTTTATGTACTTCTGTGCATGTGCACAGGATATCTACTAGTAGTGTTTAATTTTAGTGTTTGTTTCCAGGTCATTGCTGCTACACAAATTAAACAAAATGATCCTTTAGAACTCAATTATGGTTGCCTGAATAATGATCTTTTTCTGCTGGATTATGGGTTTGTGGTTCCCTCAAATCCATACGACTGCATCGAACTCAAATACGACCCGACTCTTTTAGATGCTGCCAGCATGGCTGCGGGGGTTTCGGCCCCCAACTTCTCAGAGCCATCTCCATGGCAGCAGCAAGTTTTGTACCAGTTGAATTTAGACGGTGAAAATTCTGATCTCAAGGTAATAATATATATGATTTCCATCTTTAATTTCTTCTGTATGACATTGTAGCTATAAAATTACGCAGCGCTTTCTGCAAAATAGTTATTGCCACAACATTATAAATGCCACATAATCAAACTACACACTATCATGCCATGTATGTTTTTTCCACTTAAATCTTGTCCTGATCCATAAAAAGGTGAGAGTCGGAGGATCGGAGCTGGTGGAAGGCCGCCTGCTTGCTGCCCTAAGAGTCCTCCTATCAACTGACAAAGAAGGTGTCGAAAAGCAGGATTTGGATACCCTGAAATCAATAAAATCAGAGGCCCCACTCGGAGTTTCAACTGAGGCTGCTGCTTTTCGCACGATTATCGCCCTTTGCATGATCGCACTTGGCCACTTCCCGACAAAATTAATGGAAGATGAATTACTTTTGGAGAAGAAAGTCCCAAACACGACTGAACTGGCTGTAAAATACAGGATGCAGAAGAAGTCGGTCATTATTGACGCCATGCAGGATATTAGCAGGAGGTTGAAGCCACTTTTGTCGACTAAATAGGTAACGGATTTTAAGATGGACAAGGATTTTGGTGTTCGAGTCTTGTGCCTTTTGGTTCGAAACTTATTGTTTTCATCATGTAATGGGTTGTTTGGATTTGTTTTGACAATACAGTTGGTTGAACATTCAAAGAATATCTGATTCTTTCAAAAACAAAATCGAAATCACTTCAAGAGCATGCTTGGATAAAAGTTTTTATCCCAAAAAAAAAAAAAAAAAAAATATCAATCGCAATTCAAATCTAATTGAATCTTACTATAATCAATATTATCAATATAATTAAATAATATCAAACAATCATCTCTACACAAAACAAAATTGAAAAAACAACTAGAAACAAGCAACAAAAACAGGAAAGTCCTCATTTATTATATACACGATATATATATATATGTAGAAACCCAAAGCAGGTAACAACCTAAACTCTAAAACAACTAAATAAAACAACTAAAAAGTGTTTGTTTACTAAACCAAACACACACACACACACACACAATAAACCTATTTTAGTCACGTACAAGACTGCACAACACATAACTAGCTAATTGCCTACCGAAAAATGAATACACTTTTCTGCTAAACCCAACGGCGATCGGGACCGTCCATGTTGGCGGCTAATCTCCACCGCTGATCTCGTCTCGAGCCGGTTGATTGTCTCCAATTCTTGTTTTATTTTTCTAAGTTGGCTGTGAATTCCCACCCCTTTGTACGCCTCCTCTAATAATCCCTTTTCATTTGTGGTGATCATTTTTCTCTGGCTCATGCTCGGCATAGCTTCAAAAATATTTATCTGCCTTAGCAACTAAAAAACACGTTGAGAAACTTATTATGAGTAAATATTCAAAGGCAGTGGCCTGTTTATATATTGGTGAGAGAGAAAGAGACACCAAAATTTTAAAAAAAATGAGGTGTCATTTGGTGAGGTAGCAATAACTACTCAGAGGGGTAAGTAAACAATAAGTTGTCACAATAAGTTGAGATTATTTTTAATTATATTGTGCATAATCAATTTTTTTTTTGGTTAAATTGCAAAATATAGTCAATATCTTGTATGCGGTGGCAGTAATAGTCACCATCATTACGAATTTGCAATAGTAGCCAACAATCAAATAGAATTAGAGGTTATTATCAAAATTCGGCCGAATTTGTCGACTAAATTGCAAAAGATAGTCGGTGTTAATTCTCTTACACTGTGACAATAATAGCCGTCGAATTTGGTCGAAAATGGGTAACAATCTCTAAATTTTAAAATTTATTCATTACTATTGCCAATTCATAAAGATGATGGTTGTTATTGTCACTGCATATAAGATATGACTATATTTTGCAATTAAACCATTTTTTTCCAAAAATACCCTTTTACTTGATCAAAAGCAGCAAAATATTGTTAAATATTGGGACCAAAGATCTTTCTGAAATTCACCAAGAAAAAAAGAAAATTGAAAGTGGGTCATGTGGTATGTGCTGATTGGGTAGAGGAGTTATTGCACAATCTGAAAACAATCTTTGATTTTGAATTTTACATAAATTTAATTTTTTGGGCAAATATGGTCCTTTAGTTTAAAAAATTTGTGTTTTAATTTTAGTTTGTTTACTTGTCTAAAGTCCTATTTTGAAACACTAATATTTCCTTCGTCAATAATAGTACGTCTCGTTGCAGTTTGTATCACTTTTGGACATCACTCATCAAAAAATAGTACGTTATGTTACAATTTGTATCATTTTTTAGACATTAATTCCAAAAAATAATGAACGATTTTTGCGTTAATGTCCCAATAGCGATACAAATTGCAATATAACATAAACGTACTATTATTGATGGGAAGAAAGTTAATGTACCAAAAAAGACTTTAGACAATTAAATGGACGAAAATTGAATTTTTTGCCCAACAAAAGCTATATATATGAGTTACGGATGGTAGCTTTTTATACACGTGAAATTAAGCAAAACACAAGATAAAATATATTGTTGCAAAACAAAATCTAAACTTGTAGTAAATGGTAGAAGCAAACATGGAGTGCAGGGACAAAGACTATACTGGAGAATATTGTTGTTTGACTCAACAACTATAGGGTTTCGTTTTATATAGATAAGCAATTAGGCCGGCAACATGACTCCTTTTTTCTGTGTGAAATACATTTTATTAATTATGAAAAAGACTGTATAACAGATTACGCGTTCTCTAAATTTAATAAAAAAATGAGAAATGAACGTATGTTGGGACACAAGGTATTTTTCCTTTATAAAATTACTAGTGTGGTTTCGGTTGTACACATCACAGTCGAGTCAAGTTTAACCTTTTTATATGAAAAAAAAAAAAAAAAATTAAAGACAAATTACAATCAGTCAGTCAAAATATAATATTATAAATCATATTAAGATAACCGTCGAAAACTAATTATATTAGCACTCTAACAACAATGGGTGAAACAACTATAAAGTTGCATAATGAATTGATGCATAAATTGTTGGAAAGAACGTACTCAACAAAGGAAAGGAATCAATCAAGATCAAATCAGAATCGTGGTTTTATTATGTAATACTTTCCTTAAGCACATGTTTGTAATAGCTTATATACAGGACTGTATTGGAGATTAAATTAAAAAAATAAAAAATAACAGAGAATGGAATTCCTTCCTTAATGCCTTTCTAATATGGTATCAGAGAAAGGTTACGGTCCCAATTGGATTTGTAACGTGTTTTGCTTCATCAGTTGCCCTAAAATTACCTTTGTTCCATGGCCGACGAATCTGGTTCTTCCGCTACAACCGGCGGCGGAACAGAGGAGTTTCACAATTCAGACCTCTCGACTCTGCTTCGCCTTCTCCAGCAACAGCAACCAGCATCTGTAACAACAACCAACAAACAGTACCAGCCAGTCAGTATTGCTGTCAAACTCGATGAATTTAATTTTTCTGTTTGGTCACGACTTATGCGTATGGCAATTGGGGGAAGGGGATCCCTCAGTCATATCACAGGAAATCCACCACCACCGTCACCGGAGGACCCGGAGTATACCAACTGGGAACAAGAGGACTTAAAAGTCCAGTCCGATATAATACACAACTTGTCATCATATCTAGTAGCCCTTTACGTTGAATTTCCAACAGCAAGGGATCTTTGGAACGGGCTAAATGAAACTTACAGTACTGGCAGGGATTACCTGCAACTGTTCGATTTGAAGCGACAAGCCAACAGAATCAAACAAGAGGATGGGACCATCGAGACTTACCACGGGATCTTAAGCCGGTTGTGGCGAGAGATTGGCCGCCGGGAACCTAACCCCATGACGGCGGAGGCGGATATCGCCACCTTCAACCGTCTGCGGCAGGAGGAGCGGCTGTTCCAATTCCTCATGGGACTGAGCGATCGGTTTGAATCCGAGAGAAAGGAGATTCTCAGAACGGATCCGCTCCCAACCATCGAAGGAGCGTATGCAATCATTAGAAGGGAAACGGCCAGACAGAAAATCATGGGACTCAGTAAGGACTCCGGCGATGTCACCGGGGTTGGAAGTGGTTTGCTGGTCCAGAACCGGTCAGATCGCGACAAGGCACCGGCGAAATCATCATTCCGGGGGGATGACAGGGACAAATCGAAGCTGAAGTGCTCTCATTGCGACGGGACCAAACACACAAAGGAGGGTTGTTTCAAGCTCATAAGGTATCCGGATTGGTGGCCAGGGGGGAAGAATCAGGCAAAGAAATCCGGCGCCGCTACCGCCGCCTTGGGCGACGCGGAGGCCACCAGCAAGGACGGCAGCGGCGAAGGGACAGCACTGATGAGCAACAGTGGCTTGTCTGGTGAGCAGGGTAAAAGGCCAGAAGGAGAAGGTATAAGGGTGCGGGGGAAGAATTTACCCACAAGCCCTTTAATTTCCAACCCTAGATATTTTTACCCTGGAGTTTTTGATATTGATGCTTCTTGTTGACCAACAAATCCGCTCAGGCGTTGGATGAACGACACGTGGATGACGAGGAGTTAAAAGGAGGAACGCCGAGGATCGCAGGGAGAATGCAAACCGACCTGTGGAAGCCGACCTTGACTGGATACCGACCTCATAAACGAAGCCACCTCGGGCGCCGGCCGACGTCGGAGCCAACAGGCAGCATTTAATGCCTGTCCATCAACTATACAAGGCCCATGTGGAGACATCATTGCGTAAAGGGGGCCCACGGACAGAAAAGCTGCGCAGATGTCATTCCGCATTAAATGCCGCCGAATCCCCTAAAAAGACGAGCCCCCAGTTACTATAAATAGCAGCAATAAAGGCAATATCTTCTTTTTTTTTCCGACACATAAATTCCGCATTAATCACCTCGGTTCTAGCTATTTCGACATCATTGTACCATAAAAAACCGACCTTAAAACCTTGAAAAACCGACTTGATATTGTCACGAAAACTTTTCAGTTATTTAATAAAAACCATCTCATTACCGCATTAATCTAGAAGTTCGATTATAAAAAGTTGATCAAATCCGTTTATCAACAGTTTGGCGCTAGAGGAAGGGCCTCATAAGATATCTTGAGGTTAACCTTTGAATCCAGCATCTACCCTTGAAACCGCTGACTTGAAATCAAACAACGATGGCACAGTCAGGACAAGACGATCAAACAACAAGGGGAGGGGACAGCCACGGTCCAATCCCTTCAACCGGTAGGGCCAATACGGCAATAATACCAGACCTTGCTACGCTCATGCAGAACCCAGAGTTCGCAAAAGGCTTCTCAATGCTACTGGCCCAGACAATGCCAGGAGCCTCGAGAACTGCGCCAGGTCAATCGCTGGCGCCCATAACCCCGGCCAGGCCGGCGGTACCACCGCAACAGGGCGCGAACAACCAAGCGCGCTCGCACGCAACGTCCCAACCAAGGGACGGCGCCACCCAGCGACCTCCTGCCCAGACGGTGAACCCCCAAGAGCAGGATTTGCAAGAGATGACGGCAGAGAGCGAGTCCGGACATGCCCGGAGGGAAACCGCCGTCGCTAGACCCTTGTTCAGAACGGCGGGAAATCCAACCGACCTCCGACATCAGATAGTGCGGGGCCGAGCGGCCAGGCACGACAACCCCGAGATGGAAGCCTTAAGGAGGAGGGTCTCCCGAACTTGAGACGTTACAAAACCAGAGGACAAGGTCACCCCCCAATCAACGCAGTCAAGAGACTGGCCACGTGTATGTGGAGACGGACTCCCCACTCTCTCCCGAGCTGACTTTAGAGCCACTGGCCGGGAAAGTAAAAGTCCCACAAATCGGCCTGTACGACGGAACGTCGGACCCAGACGCCCACCTCGGGCACTACACCTCGTGGATGGACCTGCACGGGGCTACCGACGCCCTCAGGTGCCGTATGTTCTCCCTAACTTTGGGGCCAAGAGCGAAGAAATGGTACTACTCACTGCCTGCGCAGTTTATCAGGCGCTGGGTCCAACTCAGATCGGAATGGGCGCAGGTTTGCCTGATCCCGAAAGAGTCAATCACGAACATCGTCCAGAAGGATGAAGAGAGCTTGAAGGAGTATGTTGCCCGCTTCAACGAGCGTGTGCAGAATATGGAGCCATGCCACCCTGAGACCCTTCTAGTAAGCGCCATCTCGGGGTTGAAGCCGAAGTCAATGTTCAGGTGGGCACTTTGCCAAAACAAGCCCAGCACATTCCAAGAATTCTTGGTTCGGGCACAGAACCACGTGATCGCTGAAGAAAGCATGTCGGTCCCAGACTTCACGTTCGCATCCCCAGGACAAAAACCGACGTCGGAGAAGAAAAAGAAAGCTTTCAGCAACACACCTAAGAAGAACTCCTCCTCGGACCCGAGGTGGGGAGATCCGAACGACCCCGAGGTGCGGGCAGCTCGGAAGCAATACCGAGAAGACTTGAAAGAAGGATACCGATCTATCTACTCGGTCGGAGCGGCCGCCATTTACGAGGAAATAAAGGGAAAGGGAATCATTCCCGATGCTCGGCCAGTCAAAACTCCGGAGAGCCAACTCGACAAAGGCCGCTACTGCGACTACCACAGGTCACCGGGCCACAACACCGACGAATGCATGAGCATGTTGTCGGCCCTGATGAAGCTTATCGGTAACCCACAGGTGAGGAAATTCACCAAAGCTGGTGATAACAAGGGGAAGCAAAGGGCGCAAGAGATCCCCGACGATGATGAAGGAGATGAAGGGGGGCCAACTTTCAAAAGGCTTCGAGCTCAGGGAGACAAGGAAATTTTTGTGATCGGACCAGAAGATGTCGGTTCACCTCGGGATCAACTCAGGAAGAGGGGCCGAGAAGCTGACGTACAACCACGGCCTAGTCAGACACCTCCAACCTCGGGACGGTCAAGTCCCATCCCCCAAGTTAATACTAACCGAGATATACCAACATCATCCAGAAGGCAGGCCAAAGCATACGCGCGAAGGGCCTACAACTCGGGAAAGCAAGTGATGACCTCGGACCTTAGAGAAACGATTAATGCCCGAACTTGCCCGATCACTTTCACGTTAGAGGATGCAAGTTTATTCGATCATCCTCACTCAGATGCGTTGATAATCACGGCCCCCATCTGTGGCATTCCTGTCCACCGAATCATGGTAGACACCGGGGCCTACACGAGCATCCTCATGCTCAAGGCGTTCAACAAGCTCGGGATAGACCCCACCGAGGTCCGTCCTTGCAACGACCGCGTCCACGGCTTCAACGGGAGCGTGGCGCTCCCACTCGGGGAAATCACACTCCCCATCAGGTTTGGAGGAAATGGGCAGACTTCCAAAGTCATTATGGAAACTTTCAAAGTGATGGACCTTGACAACGAATATAATGCGATCATTGGGAGGACGACATTGTACAAACTCCGAGCTGCCGTATCAATATTTCATTACGTATTAAAATTCCCTACGGCGGACGGAGAAGGAACCCATTACGGGGAACAAAGGGAGGCCAGGGAGCTGTTTCTGGAGATCCGCTCGCGAGAAATCCATATGGCAGAGAAAGTCGATGTTGAAGCGGGCGACGATCAGGGTCCGGGGGGAGATGAACAATCACCGACTAGGGATGAAGAAGACAGAACCCAGGACCGAGGGAGGCGACCTGGGAAGGAGCCGACCAAGGAAGATGATATCCTCGATCCCCGAGACCAGTTCAAGGAGAAGAGGCCGGGGAACCGAGCTGAACCCTCAGAAGAGGTCGAGATAATTAACGTCGGCGGGCCGACCTGTCCAAAACAGCTCCGAATAGGAGCATGCTTGCCCGAACCGCTCAAAACTCAATTAATACAATTCCTTCGAGCAAACGCCGACGTCTTCGCCTGGAGGCACGAAGACATGAAGGGGATCGACCCAAAAGTCGCGTGTCACCGGCTCAACATCGACAAGACGGTGAAGCCGGTCATTCAGAAGAGGAGGAAATTAGGCCCAGACCGACACTGGCCCTCGAGGAGGAGGTTAAAAAGTTGGTTGATAATAAATTCGTCAAAGAGACCAAGTACCCGACCTAAGTATCCAACCCCGTTCTAGTCAAGAAAGCCAGCGGCGCATGGCGACTGTGCATAGACTTCTCCGACCTCAACAAAGCTTGCCCGAAGGACAGTTACCCTCTGCCACACATAGATTACATGGTCGACGCAACCTCGGGCCACGAACTCATGAGCTTCATGGACGCTTACTCGGGCTACAACCAGATTCCTATGGACCCGGAGGAAGCGGAGCACACTTCATTCTATTCGGCTCGGGGGTTATACTGCTATACGATGATGCCTTTTGGACTGAAGAATGCAGGGGCCACCTATCAGCGATTAGTTAATAAGATGTTTTCTAGGTTGATAGGACAGACTATGGAAGTCTATGTGGATGATATGTTAGTGAAGTCGGTTGTGGCAAATGACCATGTAACTCATTTGAACGAAATGTTTAAAATTTTACGCGATTACTCAATGGTGTTGAATCCAAAAAAATGTACCTTCGGGGTGAAGTCGGGAAAATTCTTGGGCTATATGGTTAGCCAAAGGGGGATTGAAGCGAACCCAACAAAGATCCAAGCGATCCTCGATCTCAGACCCCCCACCTCGGTGAAGGGAGTACAGGGTTTAACTGGTAGGTTAGCCGCCCTGAATCGATTCATTTCAAAGTCGACCGACCGCTGCAAGCCATTCTTCGATGCAATCAAGAAGGGGAAGAAGTTCGAATGGACCGACGAGTGTCAGAAAGCCCTCGACAATATCAAAGACACGCTGAGCCGACCTCCAGTCCTGCAGAAACCGAAGCCCGGCGAAATGCTGTATTTATACCTCGGTGTAAGCAACTCGGCAGTCAGCGCTGTACTCATCAGAGAAGAAGAAGCATGTCAACACCCGATCTACTACGTGAGCAAGGCATTACACGACGCCGAGCTCAGGTACCCGCCGATGGAGAAGTTGGCTTACGCTCTTGTTATCGCCGCAAGAAAACTCCGACCATATTTCCAGGAACATTCAGTCACCGTCTTGACGGCCCATCCGTTGAGACAAGTCCTGCACAGACCCGACACCTCGGGGCGAATGATCAAATGGGCCGTGGAATTGGGGCAGTTCGATATACACTACAAGCCCCGCACAGCCATCAAGGGCCAGGTATTATCCGACTTCATCGCTGAGTTCACCCCGGCAATCCGAGAAACGACAGACCAGCGGCCGTGGGTAATGTACGTCGACGGGTCGTCAACCGCGGCTCGGGCAGGAGGAGGAGTGGTTCTGATCGACCCGGAACAACGGGTGTACTGCCACTCCGTCCAGTTCCTCTTTCCGGCCACCAACAACGAGGCCGAGTACGAGGCCTTGCTATC